GAAATGATGAAATTGAGGTTTCACTATAAAGCCAATTGGCAATATGAGGAGTAGCCCAATATCATAGAAGCACATAGCAAACCTTGTCCCTCACCAATGTGGGACAACTCTCAACATGCCCCTCACGTGTGGCGGATTTTCAAGCTTACACGTGGACAACAACTAGGTGACGTGGAGCGTGTGTGGCCGTTGGGCTTCACACGTGAACGACCTGGCTTTGATACCATGATAAAATTGAGGTTCTACCATAAAACCAATTGGCAATATGGGGAGTAACCCAAAATCATATAAGCACATAGCAAACCTTGTCCCTCACCAATCTGGGACAACTCTCAACTCGAAAAACCTTTTTTATAACCGGCATTACAGGTCTCTTAAGATGTTTTGAACGTGTTTAAAATAGAGATAATAATATTTAATAAATAACTAATTGAATCACATTATTACTAGTCCATTACGAGACTAAACCCACTCCCTTCCCTCTTAGTATAGAAAATATCATTTGTTATAAAAAAATAAAAAATAAATAAATCATTTGACAACTAATTTAATCACATTATTATCTGCGTGCGAATGATCTTTTTTATAACCGGCATTACACGCCTCTTAAGATGTTTTGAACATGTTTAAAAATAGATAAATTAAATCACATTATTGCTAACCTATTGTGAAGTACTAATTAAAAAAAACAAACAAAAAAAACGCACGAAAATATTAATTATTAAAAAAATACTATTAAAATGATGAAAATGCCCTGACTTTATTTGATGCATTATTTTGAGATGCCTTTAAAGTTTTTTGTTTTGGGAGCATTTTTGTCCAATTATTTTTGGTAAAGCATTATGACACCAAAACACTATTCACTTTGTGTTGGCTTTATATATAACTAGCCTTCAAGCACGCGTTCACGAGTGTGCAAAAGGTATGTTTTGAATCATGGCATGCTATGCGCAACTTACACGTTTTAAATGTATTTATATGCATAAATTGACGAAAGGAAAGTCAAATATTTGAAGTAAATGAATAATTTTAGATCATGCTTGAAGAAACCCCTCATAAACCAATTAAAGCAACTGAATTCACATAATAAAATCAGTCTGTATAGAATTTACATTAAGAATAGGGAAAATAATATTTAATAAACAATTTATTGAATTACATTATTGCTAGCCTATTGTGAGGCTAAGCCCACCCTGTCACATCCCGCCCCGGGGGGGACCACTTCCCCGGCCCGCTCCACTACCGTAGCACGATATTGTCAGCTTTGGGCCTCGATTATGCCCTCACAGTTTTGTTTCTGGGAACTCACACGAGAACTTCCTGATAGGTCACCCATCATGGGATTGTTCTCGTGCGCTACTCGCTTAACTTCGAAGTTCCTAAGGAACTCAAAGCCAGTGAACTCCCAAAAAGCCTTATGCTAGGTAGGGATAGGAATATACATTTAAGGATCACTTCCCTGGACGATGTGAGATGTTACAATCCACCCCCTTAGGGGCCCGACGTCCTCGTCAGCATACCACGGCCAGGGTTAGGCTCTGATATCAAATTGTCACATCCCTGCCCGGGGGGACCACTTCCCCGGCCCGCTTCACCATCGTAGCACGATATTGTCAGCTTTGGGCCCCGACTACGCCCTCACGGTTTTGTTTCTGGGAACTCACACGAGAACTTCCCGATGGGTCACCCATCGGAAATGTTCTCGTGCGCTACTCGCTTAACTTCGGAGTTCTATGGAACTCGAAGCGAGTGAGCTCTCAAAAGGCCTTGTGCTAGGTAGGGATGAGAATATATATTTAAGGATTACTCCTTTGGGCAATGTAAGATATTACACACCTCATTCCCCTTAGTGTAAATAATATCGTTTGTTAAAAATAAAAATAAACTATTTGACAACTAATTTAATCACATTATTATCCGCGTACGAAAGACTTTTTTTATAACCAACATTACACACCTCTTAAGATGTTTTGAACGAGTTTAAAAATAGAAAAAAAATTATAGTTAATAAACAACTAATTGAATCACATTATTGCTAACTCATTGTGAGGCTAAGTCCACTCTTTCTCCCTTAGTAATGTCATTTGTTAAAAAAAAAGCACAATCATTTGACAACTAATTTAATCACATTATTATCCGCATGCAAAAGACTTTTTTTATAACTGACATTACACGCTTCTTAAAATGTTTTGAACGTGTTTAAAATAGAGAATATAATATTTAATAAACAACTAATTGAATCACGTTATTGCTAACCCATTGTGAGGTTAAGCTCACTCCCTCCCTTTAGTGTAGATAATATTGTTTGTTTAAAAAAAAAACAAAACAATCATTTGACAACTAATCTAATCATATTATTATCCGCGTGTGAAAATCGACATTACATGCCTCTTAAAATATTTTGAACGTGTTTTAAAATAGAGAAATTAAATCTACATTATTACTAGTCTATTGTGAGGTACTAATTAAAAAAAACAGCATAAAAAAACTAATTAAAATGACGAAGGACATTTTTTGAATCATAGCGTGTTATGTGCGATTTACACGTTTTAAATATATTTATATGGGTAAATTGACAAAAGGAAAGTCAAATATTTGAAGTAAATGAATAATCTTAGATCATGCTAGAATAAATCCCCTCGTAAATCAATTAAAGCAACTGAATTCACATAATAAAAGCGGTCTCTATATAATTTACATTAAGAATAGAGAAAATAATATTTAATAAACAATTGATTGAATCACATTATTGTTAGCCCATTATGACACATCCTAGCCCGGAATGTCCACTAGGACCCCGAATCGAGCCAATCCCTGGTCGGAGGTGTATCGACGAGGACGTCGGGCCCCTAAGGGAGTGGATTGTAACATCTCACATCGCCTGGGAAATAGATCATGTAAGCCTTATATGTATATTCCCATCTCTATCTAGCACGAGGCCTTTTGGGAGCTCACTGGCTTAGAGTTCCATTGGAACTCCGAAGTTAAGCGAGTTCATGCGAAAGCAACCTAGGATGGGTGACCCACCGGGAAGTTCTCATGTGAGTTCCCAGAAACAAAACTGTGAGAGCGTGGTCGGGGCCCAAAGCAGACAATATCGTGTTACGGTGGAGTCGAGCTCGGATGTGGTGGGGGCCCGGGTCGGGATGTAACACATTGTGAGGCTAAACTCACCCCTCCCTCTTAGTGTAGATAATATCGTTTATTAAAAAAAAAAAAATCATTTGACAACTAATTTAATCACATTATTATCTGCGTGTGAAAACCCTTTTTTATAACCGGCATTACACGTCTCTTAAGATGTTTTGAATGTGTTTAAAAATAGAGAAAATAAATTTAATAAACAACTGATTGAATCACATTATTGCTAGCTTATTATGAGGCTAGGCCCACCCTCTTCCCTTAGTGTAGATAATATCGTTTGTTAAAATAAAATTAAAAAAACAATCATTTGATAACTAATTTAATGTAATTTAATCACATTACTATTCGCGTGTGAAATACCTTTTTTATAATTGACATTACACACCTCTTAAAATGTTTTGAACGTTTTTAAAAATAGAGAAAATAATATTTAATAAACAACTAATTGAATCACATTATTACTAACCCATTGTGAGACTAAGTCCACCCCCTCCTCTTTAGTGTACATAATATCGTTTGTTAAAAAAAACATAATCATTTGACAACTAATTTAATCACATTATTATCCGTGTGAGAATAATTTTTTTATAACCGGGATTACACTCCTCTTAAGATGTTTTGAACGTGTTTAAAATAGAGAAAATAATATTTAATAAACAACTGATTGAATCATATTATTGTTAGCCCATTGTGAGGCTAAGTCCACCTTCTCCCTCTTAGTGTAGATAATATCGTTTATTAAAAAAATAAAAATAAAACAATCATTTGACAACCAATTTAATCACATTATTATCCGTTTGCGAATGACATTTTTTATAACCGGCATTACACGCCTCTTAAGATGTTTAAACGTGTTTAAAATAGAGAAATTGAATCACATTATTATTAGCCTATTGTGTGGTACTAATTAAAAAAAAAAAAACCACAAAAAATTAATTATTAAAAAAATACTGTTAAAATGACAAAACTGCCCCAACCTTATTTGATGCATTATTTTGGAATGCCCTTGTCTCCAAAATTAATTAGGGTTTTAGCTATCTTTCCCTTTAAATATAACATTGTGGCGCATCATACAAGAAGTTTTTTTTGTCCAAATATTTTTGTTGAAGCTTGGTGACACCAAAATCACTATTCACTTTTCCATTAGCCCATCCTCCCCCTTAGTGTAGATAATACCGTTTGTTAAAAAAAATAATCATTGACAACTAATTTAATCACATTATTATCTGCATGCGAGTGACCTTTTTTATAATCGGCATTACACGCACTCTTAAGATGTTTTAAACTGTGTTTAAAATAAAGAAATTAAATCACATTATTGCTAGCTTATTATGAAATACTAATTAAAATAATAATAATTAATTATTAAAAAATACTATTAAAATGACAAAAATGCCCCTACATTTTTTATGCATTATTTTGGAATGCCTTTGAAGTTTTTTGTTTTGGAAGCATTTTTGTCCAAATATTTTTGTTGAAGCTTGATGACATCAAAATCACTATTCACTTTTCCATTGGCTTTTATTTATAGAATATAGATATATAATACATATAGATTCACATTTTTTTTTAAACATTTTATTCACATTTTACTAATTTTTCGACAGGGCTAACATTTACCTCTTGGTCAATTGAAGAGCCCAAGAGGGCTAAAGGTGATAGTTTACCCTTGTCTCATCTCTTGAAGTAGAATACTTAACGGCAGTCTAACTAGATCAGCTCTCATATTAGATGAGAAAAGCACTTAGAGACGCTCCTATAATACTTTTATGAAATGACACTTTTGGGTTGTTGAAAATTGAAAATACCAGATTTCTCCGAAAGTGCAGGAAAGAAAGCATTCGACTTGACTGATATGAAATGCCAACCAAAATATCCATCTTTCCACTTGCCTCGTCTATCAAAGTCAAGTTTGATTACAAATAACTCGTAAATATGTCGAACATCTAATGGCCAATTTCACTTTGCTCCGGTTGCTCGGAAAGTCGTTGTGACAATGACCCGAACAGGGGACTAAATTCAATAGACGGCGGAATAACGCAATGGACCTTCGTGAGGATTGGGGACCTTGAGATGTTCTAGTATCGGAGAAAATTTCAAGCCAATGATTCTCACCTCTGGATTTGAGTGTCCATCCAGAAAAGTATCTGTGATCTGCAACCAGCACCATTCAACATTATTTATCATGCTACAGATTGTCAAGACGCGATAGAAAATTAGAACACTGATCACAGTTTGTACGTACCTGAGTGCATCCGACAAGTTTTAGTATTCTCAGTGATAGGCAGCTGTCCACGATTAAACCCAGGGCCTCGTCTGTAATATTCCGGCACCATGATAGATCTAGGGTATGCAACATCCTTGACCGTTTGGCAAGTGATATGGCTGTGTTGTGGCCGACCTGAAATGAACCCAATCCATATTATAATGTAGGAGCAACTAGTTGTGACTATGTAGCCCAGGGTCTCACTCAAAATCAAGCCTACTGCTCAATCAAGTGGCGAGCAGATTCTCACAGTCAAACCCCAACTTTGGTTCATGCAATTTAGCATGCATATACATTATCGAAAGTGTGAGTGCGAGTGAGTTTGGGTGCACACACAAATTCATTGTGAATGTTTATATTCCTGTTCATGTAAGATGTGCGTGTGTGTGTGTGTGTGTGTGTGTGAGAGAGAGAGAGAGAGAGAGAGAGCAAAGTTTTACCATCTGGATATGATTTAGTGAAAGTTCCTGTAAGCATTCTCCAGAAGTTTCCAGGAATGCAGCAATGGCTTCATCACTGTCACACAGGGAATAGATTGTTCTGTAAGTTTATCACTCAGAGGAATGCCTATCGTGTGAGCACCAAAATGAAACTAAAATCACATCAGCAAATAATAATATAAAAATAGCAGGTTCTAGTATCGACTTAACAGGGATCGACAATCCAACCCAGAAAATCATCAAAGGTCAGCACAAATAGAACTACTCTATTTATTCTCGTACCATATTAATTAGTCATATGCAATCTGTCTCAACAGGAGTAAGTACTAGCATTGCAATAATCTAGCAAAAACAAACTAATAATCATATCCACTTTGATGGAAAATAGTAAAACTAAACCTATTCATCTAGGAAATCACCTGAATGGATTCCGATGAAAATTTAATGTTTGAATTGCTCGGCAACCATTTGCAAGATATCCTAAAGTAGAATCAGTCAATTTGTTCAAGTTAGCCAAGGTCAAGCGCACGTAATCCCGAACAGGTTTCAGCTATCACTTTCACAGAAGAATCTGTTAATTGTCTGCACGAAATTAAAGCAACCCTGCATAAGTAGAAAAACAACATAGAATTCAATGCAAAAGTTGCACAATGTGTTAGAAATACTTACACACAATCAGTCAGAACAAGCTCCTTCAAACTGTGACCACGAGCTGTAATAAATTCCCTAATAAAACTGTCATAAACATTTTCAAAGCCTGCTAGCGAAAAAACCTCCAAACGCTCAAGCTTCTTGAGTGCTGGTAGCATAAGCATAGCATCAATGCCCTGGCAATCATTTAGATAAAGTTCCTTCAGAACTGATCCCAATGAGTCAGCTACAGTGCCAATGCTCGAGTAAGTGAGAAGAGAGCACTGGCTGAGGTTTAGAGATCTTAGTGCCGGGGCAGAAGATATAACTTTACCAAGCCCAATATCCGAAAGACGGCATGCACCACTTAGGGATAAAGTGACTAGGTTGGGCAAGCAATTTGATGACTGAGCTAAAGTGGAATGCAATATATAATCTGGCATACAGCGCCCACACTGATCAAGTTGTAGCACCTGATTTCACCACAGAGAAAAAAATTCAGATTACAAGACAAGAAGCTGGAAGCTCTACACTCAATGAACAATGAACTTTCATATTACTGATAAAGCAACAGAAATGGCTTCCAGTGAGTCATGAATCCTTTTTTAAAACATTAATGCAGGTTGCTAAGCTATGTTTATCAGGATAAAACATGAAAAAATATGTTTGCTCTCCCTCTGCTCCCATTTAACAGAAGCATCAATACCATACGAAGTAGACTTTCAGCACCAATAATTTCCCACTACATCCTTGTCGCAACAAAATCGACACTGAGAGCTCTAACACAGGAATTATGATCAGTCCATCCTTCTTTACATTAAGATATGAATGTGATCATAACAAATCGATATGCTCTCTCTCTCTCTCTCTCCGCTCCCAGTTAACAGGAGTGTCAGTACTATAAGAAGCAGAATCTAACAATTCAGGATAAAAGCTCAGTTAAGTTAAATGAGTACACAATACAATAAGAGCATACTCATCAACTACCTATGAACCATAATTGCATTCATACATAGCAAGCTTGTCTGTTGACTCAGAAACTAAGTATTTCAAGTTCACCTGACACGTCACACATGCACCAGATACAAATATACATTATATATGCAAAACAGAAGCTCAACCAAAATAAGAGAACGTACTGTTAAATTGGTGGTGTCGCACTGCTGAAAAGAGTCTGTAAACTGCTCCTCTGTCATCCATGAGCAATCCCGTAACCGAACCTCTGTTGGAGATCCCTGAACAAAAAGTTTGAATAAATGACTGTTCATTTTTCGAGAATCACAAAGCATCTGACTTAGCCGGTGCCTCAAAGCATCTGCCACGTGGTCAAGTGAAACAATTGCATCAGCATTCTTAGCGAGAACCACCAAACACAGATCTTGCAGTGAGGGGACCGAAATCTTAGGGAGGGGACGATCTGGAAACTTCTTAGGAATCCAATTCACTGATGATTGTTTGGTCCTGTTAGAGGGCACTTGCACATCTTTTTCTGCTCGATCCTTAATAATTTTCATGGCCGTAGAGAAGGGACCAGGCCAATCTTCGATATCCCGTGCTACTTCAGCATCAGGAGGCAAATGATTCACCTGTTCCTCTTCAGCAGAAAAGTATGCAAATCGACGTGCATTTCGCCTAGCTGTTTCGCGAAACCGCTCCATGTATACGTTTCCATCTGATACATTCTCTCTTGTATTCGTGTTACTGTTATTTACCTGCCTTTGATCGTGCAATGCAACATTTTCTTCTATATAAATCTGAGACGAAAATACATTGTCCACTGCTACATTATCTCCTATATGAATAGGAACCGTAAACACATTGTCAACTGAACTAAAAACTTCTGATTTCACACCCAATTCCACTTCATCGTTACCACTCGATAAAACCGCTTCTCCAACCAATTTCCCTTTCCCTTTTTCTTTGCTGCTGTATCTCCTTCTGCCCCTTTCTGTACCATTCTCACTGGGAGTCGGGTCACCTTTGAAATCTTCAATCACATCACTCAACTTCATCTTCCCTTTTGGATTACTACTCTTCAATACGTTCTCACTTGCCCTCTCCACGTCCGAGTCCGAATCCGAATCCAACACCACCACATCGACACCATTGACTACAAAACCACTCTCCCCCAACTTTCTCTTCCCTCTCTCTCCTCTTCCAACTTCATCTTCCCTCGTCACGGTACCATGCTCATCAGCAACTAAATCAATCACCAAAGCTCCATTACTACCACCATTCACACCCCGTTTCGTCACTTTATTCCCTGACCGCAGACTCAAAAACGGCGTACTCGCTACATCCTCCCCTTCACATTCGGAAGCCGGAAAATTAATATCGATCTCCAACTTCCTTTTCTTCTCACCGCAATCCCTCAAAATCCCTAAATCATAACTCAGCCCTAATTCTACCAAACCCCTCTTACCCTCTTCAATTTCTACCTTCTCCTGTCCTCCGGAAACCCATCTCAACTCCTCAGTCCCTTCCTCAACTCCCGAAACCATAATCCTGTTCCCAAACAGATTAAAACCCACCTCTCCATTCGAATCACGATCGTCACCTTGTTCCCCGCCGCCCCCTCTCGCCACCATCTCGGCAGAACCCGGAGACCTGGAAGCGAGACGTATACTCCGCCGCCGCAGTCACTCCTCCCGAGACAGGGACCGAACCGGAGCCCAACCCCAGAGATCCTTTTTGGGGATTGGGTCCAAAATTAGGGTTAGGGTTTCGGGGTTGGTAGGAGAAGGAGGTCGAAGCGGTAGCTGGAGGAGTGGGGGACTCGTGGGTCTGGGCTGGCGTGGGGGGCTCTAATTTGAGCCGCGTCTTGGACTTAGGCGGCGTCGTTTTGGGGGAGGCAGTTTCGCGGGACCTAAGAACCGTCATTTGATCGGATTTGATTGATGGAGAGAAATGCCGCGAAATGACGGGATACGGAAGTGGAAAGTGGGCGGAGAGAATCGGAGAAATTGGAAGTGACACTCCACTTAATTAGGGTTTTCGCAAGGAGAGAAGCTTTCTCCGTACGCTTAATTTGGGCCTGCTTCGATTTTCCCGCCAGACAATAATATCTATGGCGTGCGCAACTGCAACTCTTTTCGCACGTTTTCATTGCCACCACAAATATTAAAATCCAAAATTTGCCTAAATCCATCACAATTTCACAAACATATCCCTAAACTTTACATCAATTGCCATTTAGTCCTCCATAGGTTTTTCCCTCTTTTAATTTTCAATTGTCTAAACTTCAATTTCAATTTTACTGACTTGTCATTGGTTGAGGAATAGTTTTCTCTACTAACTTGATGTAAGTATATAATATAAGGTACAACTTGCTTTGATGATTGACTCGTGTATTGTGGCAAGACTTTACTGTTAGTTAGTTTTTTTTGTTTCCAATCGTATATCGTTTATCAAATAAGTCAACATTTGGTAGATTTTCATATTTATTGTTTTACCTTTAATATAATATGTCGAGTGTACCATTGTTTCGTAAAAATATCAAAGAATTTTGGTATAAAATTGATGTTATTGTTAAATTAAATAACCATAATAAGTTGACGATTTAATGCCACAATATTGAGTCACCATACCTCACAACTCCGCGCCTTACTGGCTTTTGAAGTGTTTGACCCGATTGGTTCCCTTGATCCATACCTCACAACCCCTTGCCTTATCGGCTTGTCAGCAAATTTAAGCCTAGTGTGGAACGTTTTGCGTTGTAACAAGGGTGTTTTACACACCCCATTCGACCCTCCCCTTTTTCTTTTTTTGTTTGGTTCTCTAGTTCTCTTTGTAGGTATTCCTGTCGATGGTTTGGATCTCGAAGGTTCGATTTGTTTCGGTGTTTCAAGATTAATCTTATGGTTCGTGTGTGATTTGGAATTTGGTGCAATCTTAGTGGATGCGGCATGCTGCTCTCCAGTGTTGGAGATTAGGGTTTCCTTTTGTTTGCTTAGGAAATCTAATGAAAAGGGCTTGAAAACTTTGAGTTTTAACGATATAGGAAAAAATAAAGGGTAAAATAAATAGTACCATGATTGACTTTTTAGTGTAAAAATGTGATTTTTCGTTAAAACTCCCTTGTTGCTTTGTTTCTTTTGCTGGCATAAGCTTGGTTGGGGCTCCCTGAATGTTTTGGGTTATTGCTCACTTTTCGCTTTGACCGTTTGTTGTTTGTACTTAATTTTCTTAATTAATGAATGTTCTCTTTCCAACCCCAAAAAACAATATATGTAAAAGTTAGTATTGGCAGGCAGTTTGATTCCACTTGGCTTATGACATTAATTTATACACGTATTCATACCTACCGTAATTTGTTTAGAGTATTACTATTTACACGCTTATTTTTACTTTTTGCACATTTCTTTTAATTTTCGGCTATAGGATTGAATGAATTTAATAAAATTAATGGACAAAAATTAAGAAAGTATATAGTGTGACATCCCGTCCCGGAGTTATCAGAACCGTACGCGTGAAATTACCATTTTACCCCTAGTTACTTTGTTATGTTGTTTGGTTGTTTGTGTGGTGTTGGCAAACTTGGGCCACACACACACACACACACACACTGTCTCACTCACCCTCACCCTCTGTCTCTGTCTCTGTCACTCTCTCTCCCTCCCGTGTCTCTCTCTCCCCCTTCTTCTCCACCTTATACGTACGGACACACACACACACACCCTAAAACGTCACAGATCGAGGGATCCAAGGCTACCATTGAACTCGTGGAGCTGAGAGGAGTCTAGTGGTGCCATTTTCAGGTAAGAATCTCGACGTTTTCACGTCGATTTTACAAGGTCCGTTTTGGGTCACTATTCATGCAAACCTAATATAGGATGTTTTTGGACATTTTAAGCTTGTAGTTGTGTTAGTGAGGTTCCCAGGAGCTTGGGAGTGCTTCGTTGGGTGATTTTGGACGTCGGGAAAGCTTGGTTCAAAGTTGGCCGAACTTGGATCGTTGTTGCAGGTGAGATTCCTTGATTTTTAGGCCTTAAAAGTTGTCTAACGTGATTCTACTAGTCCTAAGCTTCATTTTGGTATAAAGAACGTGAAAAATGGTTGAAAAATGAGTGAGAAAACGAAGTTTGAAAAATTTCCAGTTTTCCGGCGACGGCGCCGGCGCCGGCGGCGGTGGCTCGCCGGAGAAGACAGGGGAATATTCCGTTAAGGCTAACGGAATATTCCTAACAGACAGTAACGGCGTCAGTCAAGGTTAACGGAATATTCCAGGGAATATTCCTGACGGCGTCACCTGACGCCGTCAGTGTGCAGGTCACGTGGCCGCGCGTGGGGGGCGCGTGGACCCGTGCCTGTGCTGGCGCGTGGGGGCGCGTGACATGTCCAAAAATTATTTTAAAAATATGGTTGTGATCGTGAGGTTGTGTAGGTCACGTTGGTATATTCATTTGTCCATTTTGAGCAATGTATGAGAAGTTATTTTGAACGGACGGTTATGTGCTTTAAAGTTAACGTTTTTGTAGTTAATTCACATATAGGTGACACGTATCCCGAGGACGAGCGTGCACATTCGAGGCAGGGGGGCTACGACCCTTCTACTTACCAGTGAGTGGGCTTTTGTTTTCCGTATATACCTATATACGTATAAATTCCCAGAATTAGTATAAATGCTTTGTTTTATGCCATTCTTTTTATATGATTGATGTTTATGCATGATTGGTGGCATATACGTTTTAGTATATATTCATTTATGATTTCATTATGTATGTTGGTGCTGTGGCGGCCCAGGTAAGTGCCAGGTAAGTATGGTTTATCATTTGCATTAAATAGCGGTTAGAGATGCTTAGAGAGCTCATAACCTGCACCCCCGGTGTTAGTGCTCCCGCCCAGAGTAGGGCACAGTCCTTCACGTGTTGTTCACCTCCCGCACCACACGCTCAACTTGAATCCAAGTTAGGTGCACAGTCCTGTCGTACAGACCACTATAGGTGGTTCCGACTCGTAGGTGACCCGCGATTATTCGCACAGCCTTCACGTGATCGTAGCACTAGAGCGTTTATATGTAGTGCACCCAGACTTGTCGTACAGACCACCATAGGTGGTTCCGACTCGTTGGCAGGTTTAGTGATTGAGTTGTGATTTGAGCTCTAGATTCAGCCGTACAGGTCACTTAGGGGACTCCGGCTGCCAAATCATTATAATATTGACGTGATATACATACCTGAGTACGTACATGTTATTATGAGGCCTTGAGCATGTTGGCATACCCTTGAGTATACTTGGCATATTTATACCTACGTTTATATGCTTATTTCTGGGAAGTATACAGGTTTTACGGCGAGGGGTTATATTATGTTTTATGAATTGGTTTTCTAAGATATTTGTTTTGCCCACTCACGCTTTTGTTTTTGCGCCCCTCCAGGTTCTAGTAGCTTAGCGGGTTCGGTGGTTTCCCCAGGGACGTCCCGGCATTCTGACAGACCTTCACCTACGTAGGGTCGCCTACGGGCGCACTATTGTCGTAACATTTATATTTGGGCTGCTGTATACCTTAGGCTCTGAATTCAGTGTTTTAATTACACTAGCACTTATCCTATTACTCTATAGTTACTAGTTTTAAATTATTCGTACTTTTCTATTACTGTTTCTAGCTTCCGCACTGTGCACATGGCTACGTCACTTCCACGTGGCGGCCAGCATACCCCGCTCTCGGTTGGGGTGTGTCATATAGGATGTAAAAATAGATGTGTAAATAACATTATACTTGTTTAATAGATGGAGATAACGAAATTCGAACAGACAAACTCTTTTTAGATTGGAAAGATGCATAGAACTAAATATTTCATACACTTTTGAGTTAGTGATAATAGTTTAACACAATAGACTAAAGTGTTTCAAATTTATAAAAGCACTGGAATTAGAATTCTTATTTACCTATAAAAAAAAATTCAATAAAAACGCTCATAAAAGAAGCGTGTGTTACAAATTTGTGTCATTAGAGAACAAGAGTAAAGTCTAACAGGAAATTGACAACACTCTCTTAGGAATCATAGGTTGAGACAAATGTCCAATTTATAGATATAAAGATTATGTTCCGGATGTATAACATAATACTAATGTCCCTTTCAATTCTCTTTACTTTACAATTGGTCACATATCCACATTAGTGAACATAAGTGAATATACAAAATATGTTCAAAATAATAACACTAAATAACAAATATATAAAAGAAGATGCGTTCTAAAAGATCTAGGGATGTGACATCCTCACATCCCTTTTTACTTTTCCCACATATTTTCAGTTTCTGATCGTCAGATTGGAAGAATTGAAAAAAATTAACGGACATAAATTAATAAGAGCATGTGAAAAGTACAAAAAAGTGTGTGGATAGTATATTCCAAGATCTAGACTCTTCTTATCATCTCATTTGGACCATTGTGATTACGATAATATAGTACAACTGACCCACCCCACCCCCAAAAAGAAATAAGAATATAACACCATGAATCCATCTCAACATCTTTTACATAATTATTGACACGTTTTTGTAGAGCTCATTTCATAATAACGTGTTAAAAATTATGTAAAAAAGTGATGTCACATATTATATATATATATATATATATATATATATATGTAAAAAAGTGCTGTGGAATGTCTAGTGTCCATCGTACTTGAAAAGACTTGATTTGATCGAGTACCTTTGTTCCCTTCAGAAAGGAAAATTGGAGCATTTTCTTCATTGGTGGATGAACGCAACATAATAATGTCTAGTTTAGGAACTCATCCATCAATGGGGCACCTTTCGTAGTGAGGGAACTCCTCTGCTTTTAGTGACTACTTTAGTTTCTGTAAAATGCATAAACTCGGGGATTTTCGTAAAAAAGAGAATTGAGTTACTTGCGTTAATAAAAAACGAGAAAGGGACGAAGAAACTCGATCAGTTACTAGAAACGAGCAAGAGCTAATGACGCACTTGACGAACAGATATTCATACACTCATTTATCATTCTCATGCACTTTTGTTAATTTTTTATTATTATTTTTTTTTCAATTTATTGGATCTGACATATAAAAATTAAAAAATTGACAGATAAATTTACATGATTATATTTCCATGAAAAAACTTTTATCCTTTTTCCCTCTAGAAAAGGGAAAAAAAATGGGAATCGTGGTGAATATTGGATCCAAAAATTCAAATCGCAATTAGTGTCACCATCGTCATTGGCTACAGCCTTACTAAACAAATCAAATTCCACCCCGAACCCGTTGTCGATTCTCTCACCATTCATCCCACCAAGCCCGGATTTCAGGACTTTCATTGAAAGGCTGGCTGTTTTAATGGCGTTCGCAGCCCAATCCAATCACCAACTGTAGCAATAAACACCACACTGATCACTACAAACGCGGCGTTCTATAGCTTTTACAGAGTTTCAGGACATGGGTCACCACCACCATCTCCACAACGCCAGCGATGGCGTCTCGCAGCGAGTCAACAGCCCGAGATTCTCCGGTGCAATGACGCGCCGAGCTCACTCATTCAAGCGCAACCCCAACGCCAGTGCCGCCGTCGCCAACACCGGCAGCTCACACAGCAACAACTGAAGTGGCAGCGGCACCAACGGTGGCAATGGCGTGTTCGGGGGCGCCGGCGAGTACGAGATTGACCTCCAGCTGAACTTGCCCAGATCTGAAATCGGCGGGAACTCGGTTCCAGGTGATGGGTTTGACTCGGTGTTGGAAAGGAAGCAGACCCACAACCATGTGAGCCAGAGAGTTGCAGCGAGGGGGTTTCTGAGAAGGCCAATTGGATCTGCAGTGGTGGACTTGGGGTTGAGGGAGAAGAGGAAGCTTGGCCATTGGATGTTCTTTGCATTTTGTGGATTTGTTTGTTTCTTGGGATTCTGAAGATTTGTGCAACTGGTTGGTTTGGATCTGTTATTGAAACTGCTACGTCCAATCAGGTTGGCAAAATATAATGTTCTATAATATATGCTTGTATGTCATAGCTAAGTTGACTAGAGCACTTCGAATCCGCTCCCCTTAGCTTAGATTAGTTAGAATATGCTCAAATTAAAGAAAAATGGTTCTGTTAGTATGTTCTTTTTTTTTTTTTTTTTTTTTTTTTTTTTAAATCCAGTCTGTGACTGTGTTTATATGTATGTTTTTATGTGTGTGTGTGTGTTTGAATGAATGAGTGAGTGAATGCTTTCGAGATTGTATATGTTATGTTTGATGAGATTGTTTTTGTCAGTAAATGTTACTTGTAGTTTTCTGCTGAATACCGATACGCGAAATTTTTTCATTGTATGTGCATGTGTACTTTGTTGGATTCTTTGTTTATCTGATTGCTCTTGGATTTCATGTTCAGCTGTACCCTTTCAATTTGTCATAATATGGGTTGTTCTAAACTTAGGATGGTTCTGACTCCATGAATCTTTTAAAACGGATGGATCAAAGCTCTCATGAATATGGATATCGGGATGGAGGAGGTCATGTTGAACAAACTATAATGATGGCTTCTAGTGTGAACCGTGTGGTTGTTGAAGAGAAAAGCGCTGAAGTAAGCCTTAAAATCTTATGCATGGACTCTTTGATGTTCTCGTTCTTTTCTCTGTAGGCCTTTCGATTATTCATTTGTGAAACTGACTTCTGGTTCTGCACACAAGTATCTGGTCCTGACCAAACAGTGAGAATTACAGTCATTGCATTGAGTTGTCAAAAATTCACAAAAGTATGCAACACATTCAACTATATGACTTTACTCTTCTCTCTCGCTGTCTTCCTGCCTTTGTTTGTTTAGATTTTGTGAGCTTGAGGTTCTCATTATCTCATGTCCTACTTCCATCTTTTGGCAGAGCTGGACGTGAAGACCAATGGTTACATTCTTATAAATGTCAACGGCGGCTTGAATCAGATGAGATTTGGGGTCTGGCTATTGTCTAGTTTGATTGTTTCTACAGTTATAATCTATTATATATTACTCTAGTCTGCTGCATGGAAATTTTAGAGTGTAGATTTGTGATATGGTTGCTGTTGCTAAGATTATGAAGGCAGCGCTTGTCCTACCTTCACTTGATCACACTTCCTACTGGGCTGATGAGAGGTTTGTTTGTTTCCATATAATTCTGAATGTCCTGAATGGTTATTCAGCCCTCTTCATGCACCAGATGATACACATTCAATTTTCCTAGTGATATTCTCCGAACTAATACTTCATTTTCATATCTAATTGTAGTGGTTTTAAAGATCTGTTTGATTGGCAACACTTTATTGAAACTCTAAAGGATGATATCCACATAGTTGAGACATTACCCTCTGCCTATGCTGGAATCGAGCCATTCAACAAGACACTAATATCTTGGTCAAAGGTCAGTATCAACTTATAATGTTTATTACTTCATCCTCGGTGGAGGAACATAGGATAAGCCTTCATCGTTGTTAGAGGAGCATAGGATAAGCAATCATTAGGGATGCGATGTTACATTCTAAAAAGATCTAGATTTTTGGTTATTAAATTGCCATTCAATGCACAAGAGTGGCTACTCTTAAGTGCAACGCCAACGTATCACATGTTTACCATTTTTAGACTAATTACTGTCAAGTGATTAACATTCATTTTTAGAGGCTAGTTATTATAAGTCAGAGGTTCTCCCACTGTTGAAGCAGCACAAAGTAATCTATTTCACTCATACAGATTCTCGGATTGCCAATAATAACCTCCCAAATTCCATCCAAAGGCGGAAGTGCCGTGTGAATTACAGGGCGTTGAAGTATTCAGCTACAATAGAAGAACTTGGAAAAACCTTGGTTTCTAGAATGCGGCAAAATGGAGGCCCTTATCTTGCTCTTCATCTGAGGCAAATGTTAATAAGTTTAAACTTTAATATCAGATGGACCGTTTCACTCTTTTGGTGCTCATGAAGTTAGTGATCTTTCAGAGATGAAATAGTGATTTATGTTAAATATTTGTATTCCAATATATAATGAATTTGCATTAGTAAAAGTAGGTTTCGTTTGCTTTCTTTGATAAGTAGGGTGATTTCAGCAACTTATTGTAAACTTATCTCCCTCTTATTGAACTGTAATTTCTTCATCAGGTATGAGAAGGATATGCTTGCGTTTACGGGCTGCAGTCATAGTTTGACAGCAGAAGAGGACAAAGAACTACGTAGAATGCGATATGAAGTCCGCCACTGGAAGGAGAAAGAAATTAATGGGACAGAGAGAAGGTTGCTTGGGGGCTGCCCACTGACGCCAAGGGAGACTTCACTTTTGCTCAGAGGGCTTGGTTTTCCATCCACTACCAGGATTTACTTGGTAGCTGGTGAAGCTTATGGGAATGGAAGCATGCAACATCTTGAGGATGAATTCCCCAACATATTTTCCCATTCCACTCTCACCGAAGAGGAAGAGCTGAGTCCATTCAAGAATCATCAGAACATGTTGGCTGGTATAGACTATGCTGTTGCCTTACAGAGTGATGTTTTTCTTTATACATATGATGGAAACGTGGCAAAAGCAGTGCAAGGTCATAGGCACTTTGAGAACTTTAAGAAGGACCATCAATCCAGACGGGTAAATACATAACCTATTTTCTTACAACTACTTTTAGCATGATTATTTTTCTTTTCTTTCGTTACATCTTCAGCGTACAATAAGTGACATTCCATTGTGGATGCAGGATGAATTTTGTAAAACTTGTCGATAAATTTGACGAAGGAAAAATCTCTTGGAACAAATTCTGTTCCAAGGTGAAAAAGCGTCACATAGACAGAGTTGGAGCTCCATATCCGAGAGAGCCTGGTGAGTTTCCGAAACTGGAGGAAAGCTTTTACGCGAATCCATATCCAGGCTGTATACGTGAAACAAGATGGAAAAAGTAGAGGCTGCTAAAAGGTTTTGCATTAAATCACTGCATGAGATCAGCTTCGCGCAAGACATCAAGGTATGTGCTGCCATTATTTCAAACGAATCGACATGAGGGTGGCAATCTTAAATTTCCAACTGCAAAAAAAATCAGTAGGTAATTTGGCATCGTTGGGGGTGAAAAAACAAACCTTCGAGCAGTTTAAACTGGGACACGATGTTCTTGGCAGCCTAATTTGAGGTTCAACACAGAAGTCACTTGTGCGTTCTCCCAACGACTACTGGAAAGTAAAGATTGATACCATGAACAGAGAACCTCCTTGCCAGTGTACCACAGCAATTAGATTTACACTGAAGTTTTATTCTGCACGTATTTTTTCGTACTTTTTTTGTCCATAGCATTTTTACTGAGCAGGTAGGGGGCTCCAAAATTGATAGGGATACAAAGGGTTGATACCGAATTGAATGTATTACTTCAAGATTTCAATAGTACAAAAATGTAATTCAAAGAATATCAATTTAATTACAAGCTGCAATTTGAGGAATTATGTTCTTTTGTTAATCGTAGTATATAAATATATGATGTATTAACGACAGAACGTGGGTTAAAGAATTCCAAGAAATTTAATGGGTGAATCCGAGTCACTTATAAGTAAACTTGAATGATAGTACCAATTACATCCAATCATCCAAATTGATGTATGACTGGCAATTTTGAATAAACAGTTTATACGGTTGTGATTTGACGTAAGATAATTGCTTGGAACATAAAATTACAACCAGAAACAGCTTTCTTAAAATTCCCAGAAGTTAAGGAAATGGTCCTCAACAAGGACAGGAGACGGATAGAGAAACAGAGGGTGCTAAAACAAGGCATCTCATTGCACATATATTGCATGGGCAAGTAGAAGCTGACAAAAATGTGCGCTCAAAAACAGAACCAAAATCCAAAAACATGAGACCAAAATTCTAGAAATCACTTAGGCTGTAGAATCGACTCAACCAGGTCCTGAAGAGGCGCAAGCTCCCCTTTTTCGATCAAGCGGAATTCCTGCGTCACAATGTGAAAAAATGAACATCAAACAAAGAGAAGCGGAGCGAAGAACTTAAACTTACGAAAGAAAGGAGGTAGAGCTGCGTCATGCGTAGTCAAAAAGCTTACCGATGTGAAGAGAACAAAGTGCTTGAAGCAGGTGTTGAGGTGAGCTTCTTCCTTCAAGCTCACAATTTTCTGGAAATGAGAATGGTAGATATGCGCGTAAACACGAAACAATCGCTTAAAAATGGTCTTGACGACATCTTGGAAATTGGATGGAAAGGGTGCTCCTGTAGCACATAACAGCAGATGAGTTGATGGAGGGAGCTTCATCAAAATTCAGGTCTAATTAGCTTCAGAAAAGTTTTCTGCTTACCCAATCTTTGAGGAAAGATGGATTCCTCATCGAGCTGAACTTCGATCCAGTCCATTAGATACTCGACATATTTTGGAGCAGAGACCTCAATTGGTTTCTTGATTGTAACTCCATCAGCCCATCTGTACTCATACCTGTGGAGAGCTTAACCAAACTTAGCACTTAGGAAATATGTTCCCAAAAAACTGCTTATCGAAGGAACTGTTGTTGAATGGGGAGAATTGATCAGAGTTAACAAAATTGTAAAAAGAAATTACTGGATGATCAAGAACTATACTTTGGCCCCGCAGACATTGTCGGACAAGTGACTGGCGTGCAGAACTCCGTGAGAGTTCCATATAGAATGTTCACTTGGTTGAAAAAATCAACAGCTGTAAAAATTGAAAGAAGTTAAAATATATTGCAATAACAATTTCCCAGTGAATTTTGTATTGATATGTAAACATGCACACATTAACACCATAATGATTACGATGATCATCTTGAAGTTCTTACTGTTTACTGCCAGCCATTCGTTTATATCTTCGCCGGGAGGCAGACGAACGGCCTCCCTCAGGTTGCCGCTGCCCAAGGTAGCATCAATGTGTTTCTGAAGCTGGGCACCCTACATTTATCAAAGTACATATATATATTTCTTCCATCAGGAAAAAAAAAATTCATGAAAAACCTTTGAGAAATAAAAAACAAACCAACCACAGGAATAAGTAAACATGATTAGGGTTGGCTGAGGGATGTAATAACTAATAAGGGTTTTTGAACATTAGTTCTTGTAAAAGATTAAAATTTAAAAAAAAAAAAACTTGATGCTAGATTACATATTCAATTTAATCCCTTGAAGTGTACTTTTATTAAAATTTATATTCAATTTTTGTTATTTAATATGTATTTTTATTTAATCTCTCCACAGTAAATTTTAATTTTATTAATATGCACATATTTAGTTCTTTAATTATAAATGAATATAAATGAGAAAATATTAAAAGATATTTGTGATACAAAAATATATAAATACATATAAGTGTATAGAAATGACTGTGTCAAAATATATAAAATTGACTTTTTTGTATCGAAATATTTGTACGTCCATGATTGTACCGAAATATTTTTATAATAAACCTAAATGTATAACCAAAATGTATTATATTGAATTAATTTACGCAAATGTCAATACCGAAATGTATGTACCAAAATATAGTATATTGAATTAATGTACCTAAAAGTCAATACTCTAATGAGAGGTGTTAAGTTCAATCTCGTGGATGACGAATTCGATACCAAATTAAGTTGTTCATTGTGTGGCTTAACGGAATCACCCTCACTTTAGTGTAAAATATATCGTTGTACTAAAAAAAAAAACTCAAATGTGTGTACCAAAATGCATGTATATGTTTCTATTGATGAATTAATGTACCTATATGTTTGTATCGAAGGATATACTGAAATATTCAGATGTATTAATGTACGTAAATGAAGAACATACAAAATTGTTATCGGACTATATATTATAAAAAAAATTAGTTGCCTAAATGTAGACATTAAAATATATTATGATAAATGAAATAAAATTCAAATTCAAATGTAATTAATACATTAAAATAGGAATAAAAAGATAAATAAAACATCAAAATATAACTAATAAATGAGATGATTAAATGTACTAGGGACTAAAATTGGATTGTAATCTTATACAAGGTAGTCTAAAACTCATCTTTTTAAGAATTAAAATGAAGTTTTTTAAACTAATAAACCAACCTTGCTACCGGATGGAGCGCTCTTTTTCGGCCGGAATGTCTTCTGGTTTCTGCTGAATTATCAAATATGTGATTCAGGGTAGGACGAAAACATAAAAACATGTTCCGGATTCGAACAAAGAACAAAGTAACAGTTTTTATTATTGTCTCAATGGCAATAAAACAACATGAATAAAAAACCCTTTTTGTTTTCCTGAACCAAATTTCAATTAGTAAACAGATAAAATTTTGAATTTTGATTGGTGCCCATATAGCAGAAACCTCTATCAAAACAAAATATGAGAGGAGGAAAAGCATGCATCAAATATGACAGAGATATCAAAATCATCACAAAACCCAAGAAAAAATCTTGAGACAAAAAAAAAAAGTTTTGTTCTATAGAATTCATGATCCTGAATGTAAAATAAATAAATAAAACAGATTAGTTTTGAATATATTGGATTAAAAAAGTTGGGATCATTAGGAACAAACCTGCTTCCCAGGCCAAAGAGACTCATGGTTCTTCTCTCTCTGTCTCGTCCCTCTCTCTCTCTCTCTCTAACTCTGCAGAATCCAAGGCGATAATAGAGGGACAATTCTAGGAGAAAGAAAGAAGGAATATATATACAGAAACACACTATATATGAACAGCATATTTATCTGTCTATATATACTCTCTCTCTCTCTCTCTCTCTCTTCCTGCTTGACCTTGCTACGCCAGTCTGTCATTTACAACTCAGACTTGGAGAAAGGGGTTGTCTTCCTTTCTTTTCCATTTGATTGCCACCCTGCTAACCTGGCTCAATCTCCTTATTTCTTTCTCGTTTACTCTAAAATTTTATATTTATGTGGAAATGTTTAATACAACACGGGAAATAATGTCCGTACATTTTTTTTTCTTTTTCTCCAAATCATGTTTATTTTTTACTTCTGCATTGAATAATAAACAAAGAATTGAAAAAATGTAAATATATACACAGGTGTGCAGAAAGCAAAAAAATGTATCAGAAAATCATTTTCATGTTTAATATATAACACAAGCTAAAAAGAGTAATAATCTGTCTACCGGCCAAAAGAAGAAAGATGAAAAAGTTATGAGTCCGCTGAGGTGGCAATTTGATAACTAAAGAAAGACACCTGAAAATTTATGTGTATGGGTGTTAACTGTACGACCATATCAATTGTTGATCCGAGTTAATAATGCTATAGAGATAATAAAATTTTGGAAACGGAAGGATGTGAAAGTTGAATGTTGGTTTATTATTTAAACGTTGATGAACGTATTTATTCATATTGATGACACATCATCATTTTATTTATAAATTTTGTCTCCGAATTTAGTCTTATTAACGTTACCCTCTAAAGTAAGGGATAGAATCGTTTTTGATATCTTAATCATAGATGCTTTGATTTCAATGATTGGCAATTTAGCATAATTAAAGAGGATCATCCTTGGTGATTGGTGTTTAGATAGGATTCATTAGAAAAAGAAACAAAGATATAAAGATAAAGAACCAGATTCAACATCAGCATCTACTTTGAGAGATTTTTTTTTTTTTTGGAAGACAGAAATTCGAACTTGTATGCAACACAGCTGAACTAATTACACTAACTCATGTATGCGGAGTTAGGGATTACGTTGTATAGAATTTTAATGGGAGGGGTGGGACCAAAATAGTGATAATATGATATGCATCTTAGCTGTAAGCCTACTGGCAAATATAATATGATACATATTCTGCGAATTTAATTTGTCCAATCGAGTTGAGTTGGAGATGGACCATGTCTTATAAATCAATATTGTTTATATGCATAAACTACTTAGTCTTAAATATAAATAGGATTATATTATAACTTGGGGTTCAAGCTTTGATTTCGATGTTGACCTATCATTCACCAACTCCTTCGGGTCTTTTTCAATTAGATAAATTATGTCGATTAATAACCTTAATTTTGGGATTAGATCAGTGACTAGTCTACCATCCAAACTGTAAGTCGTCCTCATTGTCTAGTGGTAACTCGAGAGGTCAGTCATGTTAGGAAATACAATCTAATCAAGTGAGGCTGGAAAGACTTGAAACCTATGGGATTTATAGCTTTAGTTATAAAAATACTAAGAAATGATAAATATACACTTTTTTATTAGCTTCTCACACACTCATGTTTATTTATATTTGTTGCTTTTGTTTGATTTGTTTAATCTGATGGCTAGAAATAAAGAGGGGTGAGTGAAGCTAAAGATTGTGTGTGAAAATCACATCTCATCATAATTACAATATTTGGACACAGAAAACTAATACGCATTTTAATATATATGGACTTTAATAAGGAATTGTTATTAGCACTTCAAAAATCTTATTTGACACTCCAAACTTTCTATAATTAGAAAGAAAAATACATTTA